AAATCCTAAGCCGTAAACCCTAAACCCTGAACCCTAAACCCTAAACCCTAAACCGTAGCTGTTGGGCTTCAGACTTGGTAGTTGCATGAGATTTGCGTACCAGGCTTGGTTTCCTCGAGTTCTAGGAGCTGAGACTGGTGAAGGATTCTGGTCTGATAGTTTGGCGGTTATAGGTTAAGCCTATAAACCCTAAACCCTAATTCCTAAACCTAAGGATTCTGGTCGGATGGTTTAGGGGTTTAACCCTAAACCCTAAACCCTGAAACCCTGAAACCCTAAACCCTAATTCCTCAACCCTAAGTCTATAGGGCCGAGGGATCCATAAGCCCTTATAATAAGAGCCTACAAAAAAGTGGGCTTTGGGTTCTTAAGGTAGAAAAGAAAGATCGCCGCATCTCTGAGGGCCTCTTTGGGGAGAAACTGTAGTTAGGCCTGGATGTCTTATTTACATTAGGAACAGTATCCCTTCATGGTCCCTGCCAAGTTTTGCCATGGATATTCGCAAAAAGACCCAAATCTAACGATCGAGGCCAATGTATCTGATACATGCAGCAGGCTACGAGTAACGAAGTGCAATTCCTGGTCCTGGTTGACCAAAAATGGAGCGTGGGGGGTGGGGGTGGGTGGGTGGGGGCTTATTCTGCATGTGCTGAGGTATACTTCAGTGTTTAGGGCTGCGGCTTTATCCCAAAACCCTAAAACCCATGTGAACCGTAGGGTTTAAAGTTTAGGGTTTAGAGCACTGTGCAAGATCGTTGTGCAGCTTTTTCTACCAAGACCCGGAGTTGCTTCCGTTATCATTGATGTTTAGGGTTTGAGTTTTAGGGTTTAGGGTTTAGGGTTTAGAGTTTGGGGTGATGCTCTTTGCGCGCCATATGACCATGGCTCACAGGTTGACCGGAAGCAAGGGGGGAGGGGAAGTGATTCGCAACCTTCAGATTGTTACGGATCCGTCCTCAAACATCCAGTGCCATCTTGTGGGAGTTCGTGCAAGAACATGCATCTTGAATAATTCATGCTTTTGCAGTCTTGCATCGTGGCCGGTGAAAGTAGAGCTCGTACCTGAAAGAACAAGCCGACCGATTCAGTCTTTTTTGTGGGCCTCGCTCTTCGAAACCGAAGAGATCCTGGTCTCCAGCCATGTCGTCGATGATATTGCCTGCGTTTGTGTCCCTGGTCTTTGCCTTGGCGTTTCTATGCTTCTCTTACATCCAGCAAACCGAAGTTTCGGCAGAAGCTGTGTTGAGCTTGAGAATGAGTTCTCCATTTCCTGCATATTGGGCAGAGAGACTTGAAGTAATTAGAGGGTTGTAGCCTCACGCAGCAACAGAGCCCAGGACATGTTTCGTGCAGCCAGCGAGCGATTCGTCAACTCGCCATGGCAGCACAACCCCAAGCGGACCGTCTTCGACGTAAGAGGAGGCGCTGAGGTCTATAGCTGGGTACAGCAGGTCTTCTTGAACCAGCTCTACATGGAGCTGCCCGCAGATGGTGCTGCCGAGGGAGCCATGGCCCAACGATGATGATGATGAGGAGGAGGAGGAGCAGGATAAGGAAGCTGATGATGATGATGGTGATGATGGTGATGATGATGATGATGATGATGATGAAGCTGACGATGATGATGGTGATGATGATGGTGATGATGATGATGATGATGATGATGATGGTGATGATGATGATGATGTTTACGACGGTAAGGAAGCTGCCGGCGGCTTCGGTGGGGGCAGTGGTGGTGTTGATTCAGTGTTGATGATGGTGACGACGGCGACGATGATGAACAGTCTGGAGATGTGTCTTTGCAAGTGCTGTCGAACCACTGTATCGTTTTTTGTTCGTTTATGTAAGACACCTGCTGTCTGAAGGCCCTAACCCGACGGCTCCTGAAATTTAAACCCAAACCTCCTCATCGAACAGCGAGGCTACTGCACCAGCACCCATCCCTGCCGATTGGGTGAGGGGAATGTGAACCACGAGAACGAATGCTCTTCAGCTTTTCAAACTGGTATATACCTATGGTCTCCATTGTAGTTCCCTTTTGGGGTTACCGTATAGGATCCTAAATATAGAACTAGTTAAACCCAAATAAGGAACTACAATGGAGACTACAGGTAGATTCGGTTTGGGTATAGCAATAGGGTGAGAGCGGGGATTTGGGGGAGCCTTTTGGCCTTAACCCTAAACCCTAAACCCTAAATCCTAAACCCTAAACCCTAAACCCTAAACCCTAAACCCTAAATCCTAAACCCTAAACCCTAAACCCTAAACCTTAAACCATAAACCCCAAACCCTGAACTGAGGCTCTGGGGCTTTGAGGCCAGGCGATCGGAACTGCCCGTCGCGCTTGGGGGTTCGCGCCAGCTGCTGCCAGCAGTGTCAAGGGTCAACATGCCCGGAGAGCCACCTACCGGCAAAGCACCTCGGAGGAGCTAATAACCCTAAACCCTAAATCCCTAAACCCCCTGAAGCCGCAACTGTTTTTGGCGGTAGTTTGAGGGTGCCGCATTATTTTAGAACCTAATTAAGGGACCTTAGCTTAGAGAACTACCCATGTGGGCCCCCTCGTTTCTATCCAGAAGGATTGCAGACTGCATAAGGTTTAGGGTTTAGGTTTTGGCCTAGGCTTTAGGTAGACGGTGGGAGCTTGAGTCCAGCATTGAAGAAGCCAGAAGACCATAGCCAGTCAAGGTTTATAGGGTTTAGCGCCGTGCGGTACAAGCACAAGAGCATGCTTTCGAAGAGGGCATTGCCTTTTCAGATGATAGTTCTTTCCGGATTCTACTTGCATTGGTCTAGCAAGCCACGAGGTATAGCCACGCATCGTGGAGACATGAGCTGGAACTGGAACATGAATTACATAGAGGCCTAAATGCTTACCAATACTATCTTGGGTTCCTATTATCCTTCTTATCATTATATAGTGGAGTACGGGACACACCCCCTAAACCGTAGTCGAATTGTAAGGGCCCCTGTATTGCAACAACCAAAACCATAAGGTCTACAATGTGGCTTCTGGGTGACATGTAACCCTGCATCTTTGTATGGAGTTCAAACCGTACTAAAGCCTAATCGTTGTATCCTAAACCCTTTTAACATGAGGGTTTATGGTTTATGCCCCTACTGCTTATTACGACACATCAGCTGCGACTAGCGCTGTTGCAAAGACTCCGACCTTATCCACCACTTCCACACCTAATCAGGTCTGCCCTCATCACTGCTGTGAAAGTGACCTGTGAAAGCCCGAGAGGATATATGTTCAAGCAAACAGAGACAAAACGATGGCTAACCCTAAACCCTAAACCCTAGAGGTGTGTTCCTTGCCCGTGTTGCAGGCAAGGCTTCCTAGTGGCCAACACCTCCGTGCTGGACCTTTCCGCGAACTGCGCCGAAAAAGTGCCAAGCTGGCTGTATCTGCTGCCGCAGTGCCTTGGGCAGGATTATGAAAGGCTCCGGGTGTTAGTATTCAGTGAAGGCGATTGAAGGCTACTTCACCAGTTTCGCAGATAGAGCTCACTTTTCAGTCGTTGAAAGTGGTTGCGTTTAGCTGAGTGGCTCCCGGGTAGATTGAGAGGAGCTTTCCCCAACCTCCCAGGTACCTACTACATAGGGCCCTAGAACCTCTAGTACCCTATATAGTAGGTACCTGGGGGTTAGGAATGCTGTGTCGTATCAACATCTCATTACAGCACGGCGCAGAAATGTTGGCAAGCCTTACGGTTTAAGGGTTTCGAAAGCTCAACCAGCCCAGATCCAAGGTGGAAAGACGATGATCCACCTGATTCTGATCCGGGCAACTACACCTTTTGCCCAGAAAGGGTTGGGCGGCAGGGGAAGCGCGGTCTCATGGTGGGACGCTTCAACCTGGTCCTTATGGGCGCCTCGCTGGAAGTTAACATTTTTCTGCATGTGCATAGACTTTCCTGGCTACGGCTACTACGTATCTTCATCCGCACGGCTCGTCCTGGAAGTTGCTCTCAAACTTGGGTGCAATGCTAGTGGTGGAACAACAGTCGCCAGGGTGCTAGTGAGGCCTGGGATGTCTTGACCACGACTACTCTTGCTACTGCTGCTACTGCGATTACTCAGATACAAGTGATTGCGAGACGACGACGACGACTACGACGACTATTGCTTCGTCTACTGTTGCGGATGTTGCTGCTGCCTCTATTGATCAAACGAAAGACGCTGCCAGTGCCGCTGTAAGTATGCTGACACAGAGATGATTGGAGCTACTGCTACAACGATAGCTGTCGCTACAACGGTGTTTGAACATGCATATTAGACTATTGCGATGACCGTGGTCATTCCTCGGTAACCTAAACTAGCAGATGTGATGAGGCCGACTGTCTCTCAAGCGGCGGAAGTTGGCGACATCAAGTTCGCCCATCTTCTCGAATGCCTATCCCAGTGTCATGTCGTACCGCAAGACAGATGCCTTCCAGTACAGATCTGCCGAAGAGGACACGGCCTCATTTGGGACGGACACTGCGTACAATTACGCCAAGGATGCAGGCTTCAGGAGAGCCGGGGGGTTCGTTGAGATGCTGAACTTCGATGAGCCGAAGCATGTCATCTTGAATAAGATTGCAGCATTGAGGCGGAATGGTTGGTTCAATCTCAAGCAGGGGTCCTTGGTTGTGGAGCTTCTAGTATGGAACGGCAACGTGGAGCGCCTGCTGCACACGGCCTTTGTTTTCGAGCATGACTTCAGCGGAAAGACGGAAACACAGGTCCTTGTAAGCAGTCTCGCATTCAACATTCACGACCTGAATGCAGTTCCTACCTACTTTCTCTTCACCCTCTACCTTGTCATTATCGTCTGCTTCGTCTTCTTCCTGCGTGCGCAGATTGAAGATATTTCGGCGGACTATAGGGCTTATCTTTCTGAGCCAATGGGTTACATCAAGCTGGCCCTCTTCTGCCTTTGCTTCTTAGTGGCTGTTTAGGGTTTAGGGTTTAGGGTTTAGGGGGGTTCATATAATCCTACCATACTTGAAAAGGACCCTAAACCCTAAACCCTAAACTGGGGCTAGGGTATTCAGCCCCTCAGGCTTCTACTGCATCGTGCAGTACTTCACCATCGTCTTCTCCTACATCTTCCTGTGCCTTGGCCTGGCAAGTACTGTAGAAGTTTAGGCTTTAGGGGTTTGGGGTTTAGGGTTTAGGGTTTGGGGTTTAGGAGTTTCGGGTTTAGGGGTTCAGCTTATTCTGAAGATACTGTAAATAAAGGAGCCCCCCAAATCCTATTCTAAGTCTTAGGGCCCCTACATGAATTGAAAGCCAATGATAGGTCCAAGCCGTACGCACCAAAGCCCAGTTACACCCTCAATCCTTTGATCATAAGCCCCAAAAAGACTAAATCCAGCCCTATTTACTGGGTCTTTCTTGGACACAATTTTACATTTTTGTTCTAATAACAGCCAATAAGGATTAAGCATGATCATTTTTAATATAGCCCCAATAAGGAACCAGTTGAGGGTTTAGGTAAAGCCTTTAAATCCCCGGCCCTAGAGCGGAAAACTAAACCCAAAGCCTATCTAGACCCCCCCAAACTACCCTCGAACCTACTTCAGATACCCACTATGGCATAAGCCATTTTTTTCGAACTTTTCTCGCGGTGTCAAAATGGCTGCTTCTGCGCGTT